ACTAGAACTAACAACTAGAATGAAACATGTAGACTCACAGAGGACCTATGCCAGTTTAATTAAAGGATGAGCAGTCATTTGGATTAATTCGAACCCCAACAGACCCCTATGTAGCACCAGAAGTAAACCAATCCTATTCTTCAATCTTAACTCTCATTCCCACGAAAAAAAAGTTATGCGCTACATAACCCCAATAACATATCCGCAACATTAACTTTTGTACTAATTTTTTTATACATATACATTTCGGAAGAAAAGAGAGAGAGCGAGAGCAGCAGCAGACAGGCAATGTGGCGCCCACTACCATTAATAGAGCCCACCTTTTGGCCTCATCTGTTCTCTTCATGTTAAAATAAAGCAGCAATTCAAGCAGACCTTCTTCTTCTTCTCCTCTTGATCGTCTTTACGGCATGCCGAGAGAGTGACTGATTTTTCCACAACAGTTGAAGAAAAAGTGAAGCAAAAACCTCAAATTAAGATTTAATTTCATCTTCTTTTATTTTTTGTTGGGTTCTTATTGCTCCTCGCTTAATATTCGAAATTTCTTCTTATGCCTCATACTCGTGTCGCGCTTATATTTATTTATATTATTATCCGTCTGTGCAATTGAGAGATTTTTTTTTTCGGATGGAATGACTTGAATGGAATCAAATTTGGAGATTAAATTGTCGCCACAGAAGCAATTTTCACATGTTTATTTTGTATGTATGTACATCAATGTTTATCGTCATTTAAAGGATGGAATGTAATTGTTGATAAACAGTTAAGGGGACGATCGAAAATGATGTCAATTTAAAAAAGGAATTTTCAAACTTACTCGTCTCTTTACCAACAATATTCCTTGACTATTGAGTTGTCACCAAAATTACCAGACCTCGTTTAGGCTTTATCATGAACGTCACAAGTGAAGGACCCCAAAGATGAGTTTTATTTTGTGGATTGTTTAACAAATAGCTCATTGAATGTGATTAAAATTAAGATATCAAGTGAGAATGAAGGAGGTGTCAAATTATGAAAAGTTACACATGCGGCAAATTATTTGTTTTAAGTTAAAATGAGTCGTCATTTAGTTTCAATTCAGAATGGAATTTTTTGGCTAGTGGCAAGGCTCATGCCTTATTCTTGTTTGAATTCTAAGGAATTTTTCAATTTTCTGCTAGAAGTTACTAATAATGGAATGAAAGGGGGTCAATAGGAGATCATAAAGATGTCATAAAAGACACTGACCAATGTACCGTCAAATCCTACAAACTTCATTCATAAAAAGATCTCAAAATAGTCACAGCCGATCGACAATAAACAGTGAACATCGATCGAATAGAAAATGCGGTAATTGTAAGTCATAACGAAAATAAGAGGCAGTTAAGCACGTGGGTAATATAAATGATATGTATATGTGTTGCTATAACTGAAGAGAGCAGCAACAGAAAAGAAATGAAAACAAAAATAAAACACCCACAAAATGTGATTCAACTTTCATTCAATATTCTTAATGAATGGCTGGGTTTTTTGCGCTTGATATGAAGAGAAAGAGATGTTCATGTGCGGATTTGTTAGCTGAATTTTTGTGTCTTGTGTCTCGACCCTAGACTTTGGCTGTCATGATATCAACTTTGACTATTTGAATGCTAATGAAAGCTAACATGGATTGTGTAATGTTAAATTAATTTTTAAAGAGTTTGAACATCTTAATTCCTTGTTATTCCTTAACATGTGACTGGTTTGCTTAGAAGCGTTTATTTTAAAATATATGTAAAAAATCAATTCATTCCTCAAGTTATTGCAATTTAATTTGACATTTCTACTTGAAAATTTTCAAGTTTGAGTTCGAATCTCACAAAAATCTATGCAATAGAGTAGTCTTGCCTAATATGATTTTTTTTTGCAAAATTCGCTTAATATTTTTAAGTTAAGTTCCACTTTAAACCTTCCCAACTTCCTCATCTCTGCGACTTTCCATGATCATATTGCCATCGTCATTTTTGTCTTATTTTACATAATTTTCAACTTAATAATGATGGCTAGGGAATACACCAAGATGCGATAAAAGAACTGAACACAAAAAAAGCATTTTGGCGCCTTCTGGCTTTTTCTCTCAATCCGTCTTTCTCCGGCTCGTCAATAATCTCGTCTTTAATACTTTAACGATTCTCGATCTTTTAATGGGTTTTATATTTATTAATTTATCTCTTTTTCTCTTTCTCCTTTTTCCATTGCTCTCTTCAGATGATCAACTCCGTTGCTCTCGTATCTTCTTTATATTTTTACTTTACACTGACAGACTCACGAAGAGGAAACAAAGATTTATGTAAATTTGTTGAAAATCATGTCACGCACGAAAGAGTTGTTTTAGCTTATGTGATGCACTTCCAGGGATGTAGATTGGGTTCCTTCTTTAGCTTATTAAAGTTAAATCTTTAAACCTACTTCAATGATCTTTTTTAAAGAATCACTTTCTATAGAACAATAAGAAAACATGCATTGTCACTAGAAAATTTAAAAGGAAGCTCAAAAAGTCAAATTTGCCATTCAGTACTACATAAAATCATCACAAAAGAATCTGTGCTACTTTTTATATCTCAATCAAGAATAATTCTCAACTCCTTCATCAAATCTACTTAATTATTCCACCCAGCAACACGAAAAGTAGCTCAAAAAGTCTCCAAAACCTCTGTGTCTACTTAACTGGAAAATAATAATAATAATGAGATTCACAAAATAAGGTAGAGAAGTTAAAATCCCCAATTCTTTATGGTCATGACACTTAAGCGCTAAGAGACGAGAAATGAAAGAGAGCCTCAACTAAATTCAATAAGGTAATCGCGCGCGATTTTTTTATGACACACGCGGGTGTCTACATTCGAATGTCAGCAAATACATCTAACACATAAAAATCAATTTCTTTTAATTGGTTTCAGTAGGATGGCAAAAAAAAATTGAGACGCTCTTCACGTCGTCTTCGGTGTTACATGTGCAGCACAAAAGAAATGAGGAGATTTAAACACAAAAAAAAAAATTTTTATTTATATCGTACGTGAAGCTTTTAACGTTATGACTAGTGGCTGCGATTGGAATTAACTGTTTATTTATTACTATGACTCGATTTTGTTCCGAATGCTCATTTTGGGATGTCACAACTTTCTTGACCAGCACCGCTGGCGACACACCAACGAGCGCATTTTCTTTAAACTAATCTTAATATGTTCATTAATAGTTTATGTTATTTACTGCGGATTTAATAGAGTAAAGGAGAAATGAAATCAGTTGTGAGCAAATTGGACGACGTTGGTTGGCGGTTGTTGGTTAGCGAGAATTTGTGAATTATAATTGATGAATTATACAACATATTGTCTTTTTGAAACTTACGATGGTCGATAATTACTTTAAACTTTAAATTTTTTTAATTTTTTAACAGTTTTATATTTTTTTATATTTTTAAAATATTTCAATACTTTTTAAAAAATCCATAATTTTGGTTTATGTTAATTTAAATTTTTTAATTATTTTAAAATTCAATTTTTAATTTGTTTTTAAATTCAACATCTTATTTTTTTAAAAATTCAACATTTTAATATTTTTTTAACTTCAATATTTTAATTTTTTAACTTCAATATTTTAATTTTTTTTGAAATTCAATATTTTGTTTTTTTAAACTTCATCATTTAAATTTTTTCTAAATTCAATATCTTAATTTGTTTTTAATTCAATATTTTAATTTCTTTTAAAATTCAATACTTAACTTTTTAAGTCCAAAATTTTAATTGGAAAAACTATTTTTCAACTGTTTAAAAATGCACATCAAAATCATTTAAACTCTGATTCAGCACACTCCAACTCATTTCCTTCTCTTCATAAACACCTTTTATAAACAGTGTATTTTGTTGTGGCTTAAAATTGTAATTTATGTGACGACAAATGTGGCAAACTTAACCTGGGGGTGGAAATAAGAAAGAAAACTTTTATACATGCATGAATTAAGGCTGCATTACTGTAACAAATAAACCGTCATAGCTTTGCAATAGCTTGCGGATGGAGATCAATGAAGCTGGAATATGTTATTAAATTTTTCGTGACTTCCACGCGCAGTTTGCAATTTTTTAAAATTACAAAATTTTTTAAAGTTACAAAAAGTTCAAAATGTAAAAAAATAAAAGGTTAAAAAATAAATTTAAAAAAATCAAAAAAATCATCCAAAAACTATCTCGAACTTAAATTTCCAATTTATTATTCTAACATGGCCTGTAAGAATTCCCGATGAATCATAACAATATCAATAATATTCAACTCAATAAGCCCACCAAAATTTTGCTACATCATAGGCATCTCCATATAAAGTCCAATGTGACTTCCATAGAAAACAATCTCATCGTAAATTCATTTCTTTAAAAAGAAATCTTAATCCAAAATCAAATTCACCTGGAAGTGGGCAAGCTAAATCTAAAATGTAATTATCGACTCAGTAAGGAAATTTTAATTTTACATTTTTTTTACAAAATTAGAATTAATGAATTACTCAATTAGTGACTCAATTCAATGATTTTATTATTATTTTTTTCTAAAATATTTTTTTCTCACCTCGCAGCGATCAAAAGAGAAGAAATAAGAAAAAGTTTTTCATGTTGGGCGTTTTGTGCTTGCATCTCTTAACTTACTTATTTCTCTTATTTTCTTGAATGAATTCGAATTGCGATCGAATAAAAATTAATTTAATTCAGAGACAGTGCAATTTTAATTGAAAGCATTTAAATAATTGCCAATAAATTTTCACCTTTTCTCTGGGAATAAGTAGGGATAGCGGTGGATAGAGCGCATTTTTTTTAAATCCTTCATTTTAATTTTTTTTTTCATTTCAAAAAAATTGAAAAATTTTAAAAAATATTTTTATGAAAAGACAAACTGCACCCAACCGAACCCCATCACATATCAATAAAAATAAAACAGAAGATAAAAAAATAATAAAACTTGAATTAACATTTCCTCTGCCTTTGCATTATTTCCAGATGACGAAAGTGCAATTTGCAGCAATATTTCTCTTCCTTCACATCATTGAATGTCATCGAATTCATTTATCAGATTCAATTATGGATATTATAAATACACAGCATGTAGAAAAGATTTTAGCTGATCGTAGGCAAAACAGTAATAATCTTGATGAGGATGCAACAGAAACAGAGACCGACGTATATCCAACATCGGATACAATTATTGATTTTGATTATAACACAAATCAACCGCCAAGAAATCGCGTGCCGTTACCAATACGTGGTGATGTCATCATGAAGTATAATGACACGTCAATAATTCCATCGCTTGCGGATCGACATCCAAACATGGATCCAAGCGTGCTCGCTGAACTTCAAAAATATCGTGGTGATAAAATTCTCAAGTCAAGTAAAAGTGCACTTTTCATAGCCAAAAAGGAGCTACTAAAGCAAGATTGGTGCAAGACGGAACCATTTGAGCAGAAAATTCGTGAGGATGGCTGTTATAGTAAGCGCATCACAAATTATTTCTGTTATGGTCAATGTAATTCATTTTACATACCAAAGATGTCAAAGAGACGACCAAAGGCACATGGAAATAAGCGAGATCATCGGAATAAGCATCGAAATGATTCGTTTCGATCGTGTGCATTTTGTAAGCCAAAGGAATTCAAATACACAACAGTCATCCTCAAATGTCCATCACTGACGCCAAGCTTTCGTCGAAAGCATGTACAGATTGTAAGGGAGTGTCGATGTATTGCACAAAATATGAACTAAGATTTTTTTTTAAAAATATATTTTTTAAATTTGTTGTTAAAAAATGAAAAGAAAAAAAATTATTGCGATTTTATGCTAATGATAATGATGAAGTTAAAGAAAATTTAGCGATGTAAGAAATGAATTTTTTTATGTACATGAAAAAAATGTTGAGTTTATTCTGAAATTCTCAGAAATGATCATGTGCAAGAGTGGTCTTAAGTTGTGAGAATTTTGGGTTGAAAAGTTGGAGATATTTGGATGAATTAAGAATGTTAAGGTTAGAAACATAATCAGAAACCAAGTTAAAGCTAGTAACAATGTCAAGAACCAAGTTTAAGCTAGCAACGAATTCAAGAACCAAGTTTAAGCTAGTAAATAAGTCAAGAACCAAGTTTAAGCAAGAAACGGAGTCCAAAACCAAGTTTAAGCTAGTAACGAAGTCAAGAACCAAGTCAAAGCTAGTAACAAAGTCAAGAACCAACTTTAAGCTAGAAACGAAGTCAAGAACCAAGTTTAAGCTAGTAACGAAGTCAAGAACCAAGTTTAAGCTAGAAATGAAGTCAAGAACCATGCTTAAGCTAGAAATGAAGTCAAGAACCAAGTTAAAGCTAGTAACAAAGTCAAGAACCAAGTAAAAGCTAGTAACGAAGTCAAGAACCAAGTCAAAGCTAGAAACGAAGTCAAGAACCAAGTTTAAGCTATAATTGTAGGCAAGAACCAAGTTCATAAGAACATAGTGGAATTCACAAAAATTTATCAAAATTCTCACAACTCAAGACCACCATGACATGATGCTGTAACAAGAATTTTGTGATTTTTATTTGAAAATCTCTCCGTGATTTTTTAACTTTTTTTTATCCTGATTTTTTGCTTTAAAACAATTTATTCAAAGGCATGCGTTTGACATTCGACATTCTTTCTGTTATTCGTTCCGAAATACACACAAAAAAAACCTTTCCCGGTAAGAGAGAATATTTAGTTCAAGTTCAAGGACAAAGAAAGAATTGTTAAGAATTATTTGAGCCGGAAACAAACAGAAGAAGCATAAAAACCAATTACAAAGAATTGAACGTGACTTTTGTGCTGTTTAAGAAATTCCATTCATAACATCTTGTGGAATTTATCAATAAATACACATTTATTGTATGTGAACGAGAATAAGAACAAGACAAAGTTTCTTGGAATTTTAAGAGGAAATAAATCGGCATTAAATGTGTCACACAAAAGGATTATCAATTGTTCCAGCCCATGCCTTTGATTCTTTTCGAAGAAATATCATTTATAAATTTTTTTTAGAATTTCTTTTTGAAAAAGAAGCAATTAATGTGTAAAAAAAAGTAATAATCGGAAGATGAAATTCCATTTCCAATAAATTATTGGTGAATTTATTTATCATTAAAATAAGAATTTTTTCATGTAAATTCCTTAAAAATAGAGAAGAATGTGGGATTTTTTGTGTGAGTTCTTGAACTGCGGCTTCACATTAAATGTTGCTATAGCTTTATCGTCTTAGAAACCTTCATTATTAAAGAGTAGGAAATTTGTTATGGAAATATTAAAGCAGACTTGAAGCATTGCATCATTTTCACTTAATTTCATGTCAACCAACCTTAGCTGCTCTTTGGCAAAGTCATAAAACTCCATTGGACTCTCTAAAACTTCAATTAAAAGAAAACTGCCAAGCTTCGATGTCTGAAATTTACCAAAAGTACAGCTCAAAAGGTGATCACGTTTTGATCATTTTCATTCAATCTGTTTGATCTCAAATCCTTGAACAGCTCCTTTGTCTTGAAACTTCAAGATAGTTCAGATCAAAACTTAAAAACTGGATAGAAGTTCAATTTATAAACAACTCAACAACATTTAAAATTCTCAAAATTAAATTTCTCTTTGAAACCACAAAAATTGCCATAAAAAATTCCCTTTAAAGCTATCCATCAAAAGTTTTCGTCATCACGCCCACAAACAAAAAACAAAATTATAACCTAACGAAAAAAAAAACATTATCCTTGATGAAAACGAAATTCAAAGCGACCTAATGTGGGCTGTGAAATAAACAAAAAAAAATTTTTTTCATTTAAATTTTCATTTGAATTTTATTTGAATTTTAAATACACAATAAAATGGAAAAAAGGCCTACAAGATTATAAAGTAAATGATAGAAAAGGGAGGCAGTGATTAAGATGTATATTTTTGGTGTTGTTGGTGTCTTTTTCTGTTTTTTTGTAAGCTGTACAGAATGGCATGGATGTGAAAATTTAAAGAGAATGTGGTCAGTTTAGAAGTTTTTTAAGGTTGTTCAGGAAGAAGAATTAAAAGTTATTTAACAAGAATTTTAAATTGACACTAAAAAGGCTCAAGGCTGAAGATTTGTCGATATGGCTCGAAGAGCATATCTGTTGTAGATAGACCTGAGCATAGGGCTAGCGTTGAGACTGTTTAAATGTGTATGGCGGATAGCCGAAGTGACATAAGTACCTCTGTGGCCAAATGTCAAGGATCTCTGATCGAGTGGTCAGAGATCGTTTCCTTTGAGGTCGTGGGTTCGATTCCCTTCGAAGAGAAAATTACATTAGTATAAACATATGGCAGTTATAGGGAGATCTACAAGATTGAGGGATGGAATTGTTCTATTTCATCTTTCTAGTCTGGACTCTTAACACTCGTTATTGAACCTAGTGTCACAAAACCACCCGATAGTATTGTAAAGGGCATCCAGTCTGTAATATGGACAAAATAGGTTCCACTCCCAGTTCGAGAGCCATATGTTGACTAGTGATTAGTGAATAACCCCAAAAAATACTTTTTATTCAGAAATCCCCTAAAAAAATTGAAAATACCCAAAAAAATCAACCAACAAGTTTTAACCACAACAGAAAATAACCAGAACTTTCGAGAAAACCATTAATCATCACCACGTGTTCTTAAAATTATTCTCATATTCCCACAAATTCCATTCAACCTTCCAAATTCAAATTATCAGCTCCAAAAAAATAAATATTCAATTATTCCTTAAGAAAACCACCAAGCAACTCAAGTTACAATACTTATTTATTTTTTCGGAAGCCGTTGGTTACGCAACCACACAAAAAAAATTTACTTTTCCACAATGTAAAAAAAAAGGTTTTTTTTTAAAATTTATTTGAGAACGGAATCAAATATCCCAGTGTGAAAATATTGGAACATTAAACATGAAACAAAAGTCTTACTAAATTGAGTGTAAATTAAGAAATATTAGCCATACAATTCTTTTTTTTATTTTGAATGCGAGAATGTTGTTGATGATGTAATTTGACACTCAAAGTCAAATGTCTTGTTTGCCGAAAATTTATATCGGATGGAAGCTGAACGTAATATTAATAAAAAATAACAATAATATTAATAAATTAAAAAAATGTCAATTGAGGAACAAAATATATGAGCTGGGGTGTGTTCAGAAAGGTTTCTTAGTTCTGATGGAGGGAGGAGGGACTAAGTTGCCATTCTAAGTTTCTGTAGCAATGGATTTTTGGAACCTTAGTCGTAAACCTAGTTCCTAAATATAGTATAGGATTGTGACTAGATCAGGGTACCCTTAGTCCCCTTAGAAACCAATCCCTGAACACACCCCAGCACAGAAAAAATATAAAATAAATCAGATTGATTTGAAATGTCACAAATGACGACAGAATTGTATAAAATTATATAAAAACAAACAAAGTGTAAGTACCTAAATGTATATCGTCTAACACCCACGAGATCAAATTAAGTGATTATTAGCAATTAACGTGTTTAATGATTATTAAATTAAATGAAAAATGTTATATTTAAAAAAAAATTCATTCATAATTTTTACTTGAGTCTGTATTTTTATTTTAATTAATAATTTAATAATCCATAAGATTTAATAAAGATAATTAAAGAGTTTTTAATGTTTTAGAAAAGATAAATCTTGAATTATTTATTTCTTCGTATTTCTTCAAGAGCTTTGAGCTCAAAACATTCTCATTCTTATGTGGGATTAATCTCTTCTCGTTTTTCAGCTCTTTTGATTTCATTTACAGGGATGGTGGATTGATTGAAGCATTTTAAGATGATTTCTTCTTTTTTGAAGTAGGTCAACTTTTTTTATTCCGGGGGTTGTGGATTATTTACCTGAAATGAAGTGTAACTTGAGCTCAAAATTAAGTAAAACATTTTAAAAGATAATTCTACACATAAGCACTGCTTCCACGCAAATAAATAGGATGAAGATTAACGATTTAATGGTGCAATGGCTATTGACATCCACTCTGATTGCAATTTTCTTCAAGAAATTTAGTTTAATCTTATTACGCCTTTGTAGCTTTATCAAGTTTGCTAATTTGTTGAGAAGCTTCACTTCCTTTGGTTAAATTGCTACAAAGTAGTATAACATTTATAACATCAAGTCCATTTCACTCTTTATAATGATTGTGAGACTAGATTTTAGGGCTGAATAATACATGATCCCCATTTAAGAAATGAACTCTCCCAAATAGTAAAAATTGAGTGAATCGAATAGAAATCCGGTACCAAGCTAGCATAACTCTAGCATTCGATTCCTGTCCAGCACCATGCCAGAGTTAAAGCGGATTGGTGACGGTTTTCTAGTCAATTAACCAACTTGTTCTATTCGGGTTTATCCTCAAAATTATTTATGCAGATAACATTTCAAGTACGTCTTAAGAATCTACAAAACTGTTGAACGCTACAGAAATCTAGTGTTTCTTACTCCTTCCGCTCAGCCATCACAAACGTAACTAGTGAACAATCCCAATTCAATATCAATCATTTTAAATTCTCAACAATAAGAAGCTCTCAAAAAATCATTTCCTATAATTTATGTTACTAGACACTCGATTCAAAAATTCTGCCCAATGTCAAAAAACATAAAAATTTATGTAAATTCCTTTTTGAAAATTATTATAGAAGCACTTATGCACTTATCACATGAATTTAAAATGTCAACAACACCAATAGACTTTTTTTGAGACTCCTATTTTCTATTTATTTATCTTTAAGACGACAGATTACTAATTAAAAGCTATTAAAGGTTCTCAATATCTCAAGTATGAAGACGAAACCTATAATAAAATCAGTTTTGAGAGCATAAAAAAAGTCTTCCAATGCACACACTTTGTTGTTTCATCTTCTCTGTTTTTGCCTTTGTTCATTCCTTCTCGTCTTCTATTCGAAAATTCCATAAAAAATGATTGTGTGGCGCGCTCTTGATGACTTGGAGCCTCAAGTGCTTCATGACGACTTGTTATCGTGCATGTGAAATGAGATTTTTTTTTACAAAAGCACTGAGGAATGAGTTGAGATGATGATTGTTGCACATTGTCTGCTGGTTGGAGGCTGGGAATTAAATAGA